ATAAAGCACATATCACAAAATAATTTCTTACTTTAACCATTGCCAAGAAATGGTCGATCTCGCATTGGTCACTTCGTAAGGTTTCACACGTCAACATGCTTTCATAAATGGCCATTTCGCGTCCATTTTGAACACGTGTATCATGCTCATATGGGAATATGTTAAGTGACGTCAGCTGTTAAAGGATAATGGGCACTAGTGAAACACGTCATGACTGCATTGCAGTTATAGTTTTCGATAATTTTCTGAGTTGTTTCTAAACATTTTTTGGCAAAATAAATGCTTGTATTTTAATATCCCTCACAGTTCATTGGATCATATATATTCATAGTATTGCCCAAAGAACACGTATTGGAGAAAAGTTTCGCATAGCGGTAATGAATATTTTATTTTTGTGATTTAGGCTCACAAGATTTGTTTCAGATATTGTGTTAGAAAAAAAAAGCGAATCTTAGAAAATATAACCCCTTGAATAATTCATTATTGTTATCTAAAATATTACCCTTTGAATAATTGATTATTGTTATCTACAATTTACAATTTCAAGATGAAAATTACGCGAGATGGCAAGGAATGTATCACACTATTATCTAGTTATTTCGAAAAATAGATATATTTACAAAATACAAGTTCAGAAAAGGGGATTGTCTACCCATTAAATACATCCGTAAAATCCGTTTTAACGGAGGGCCAATCTACAAAACCGGAAAGGGACAAAATTATATAATAAGAAAGACCCACAGACACATATGCCGTGCTTTGCATTACATAACCTTCTTTGAAGAAATGAAATGATGTTTAATGGCACGCCAGCATCAACCGGGAGATAATGGGCCAGATATAATTATTATGGTCCTTGGTCTAAGACGTGCCTATCTTATAATATTATTTATAACCCTATAATGATAAATCTCTTTGATATTTGAGGTATATTCTATACCAGGAATAACTTGCGGTCTGAAAGTCGCATCGCGGCTTTGGTTATATTCAGGGGAATTTGGGGTTATTCTTCTGAAAGTTTTTCTTTAAACCGGTAACGGGTTTATTCTTCCAAGGTAGGTTTTTTCCATACGAAAACATGATATAAGGCTTTTATTACTGGAATTCTAGGATATTCATTTTACGTACATGTAAACATAGACGGTTTATAAGCAAGATAAAGTCCTCGACTTCAGTTATGCTGGGGAAGAAAGACTTAAGAAAACCAGCGGCTGCCAGGCAGAATACATCCACATTTTGCAATAGATGGATAGAGAACAAGCTAGAAACAAAAACGATTTTTTGTACAATCAGGGGCCATAATCCAGAAAGATATGGTCTGAAATGCGCAAATATTAAAAGGGACTCAGATTTTGGGAATATAAAGATATGTGTTAAATTTCATCAAAATCGGATAAAAATTGTGACCTCAAGAGGGTCCATAACCTTTGTATTACATACTTATACACCATTTGCGTACAAAGAGTGCCCATTTTGTCGTGGACTTCCATTTCGATTTTCCCGAAATTCCAATTCAACCTTCATTATGGTGGAATAGTGATATATCTAAACCGTTTTTAAAATCGGAAAACAAATTGTGACCTCTAGAGAATCCACAAGCTAAAAATGCGATTTTTCGACCAATCAGGGGCCATTATCCACGAAGTTACATTCGGATATGTGTAATTATCAAAAGGAACTAAGCTCTTTATGATAAAAAACATATATTTAAAGTTTCATCCAAATCGGATAAAACCTGTGGTCTCTAGAGGATCCACAACCTTGATATACCATATTTTTACACTATTTACGCACAAGGAGCGGCCATTATGTCCGTCAGTTTTTGTCCGATTTACACGAAATTCGAACTCAACCATCATTAGTGCATAACTGTAATATATTCACACGTTTTATTTATAATTGGGTAAAAATTGTGACATCTATAGGGACCACAAACTCAAAACTCGATTTTTCTTACAATCAAGGGCCATTATGTCCGTCAGTTTTTGTCCGATTTTCACGAAATCCGAACTCAACCATCATTAGTGCATAACCGTGATATATTCACACGTTTTTTTTTTAAATCGGATAAAAATTGTGACATCTATAGGGACCACAAGCTCAAAACGCGATTTTTCGTACAATCAAGGGCCATAATTCAGGAAGTTGCGATCCGATATGCGCGAATATCGAAAGGAACCAAGATCGTTAAGGTTATAAACATGCATTTCAAGGGTCATCAAAATCGGATCAAAATTGTGACCTCTAGGAGGTCAACAACCTTGATATACCAGATGTTTACACTACATGTATTTGCGTACAAGGAGTGGCCATTTTGTTTGACAGGTTTGGTCCGATTTTCACTCAGCCATCATTAGGATGTAACGATGATATACTAAAACGTTTTTTTTTTAAATCGGATAAAAATAGTGACCTAGGGACCACAAGCTAAAAACGCGATTTTTCGTAAAATCAGGGGCCATAATTCACGAAGTTACGATCCGATATGCGCAAATATCGACAGGAAACAAGATATTTGGGTTATAAACATGCATGTCAAGTTTCATCAAATTCGGATCAAAACTATGACCTCTAGAGTGTCCACAAGCTAAACACGTGAATTTTCGTACAATCAGGGCCATAATCCATGAAGTTATGGTCCGATACATGCCAATATCGAAAGGAACCAAAATCTTTGGGAGATATACCTATATTTCAAGTTTCGTCAAAATCGGATCAAAATTGTGACCTGTAGAGTGTCTACAAACAAATTGTGAATGGACGGACGGACAGGGGCGACGACAATATACGTCCACGTGAAAATGTGGGCGTATAAAGACCCTCAGGTTATTTTCTTCGGTCTTTCTTTCCTCAGCATAACCTCAGCCTCATGCTTTATCCTACACATAAATCATTCTACTTTTGTTGAAGGCTTCATGAGAAATTAGGTTACATATACAATTAGTTTAATTATCATTCCAACCTAAACTCAAGGCAAAGTCCTAAAGGACAATATTGGTGTCAGTCATTATCACATATGTGATGGAACTGGTTCAACACGTTCCAAGTATAATTTTAACACAGAGATCTTTGCCACGATAGATGCATAATGACGATTTAAAAAAACGGAGGGAAAACACGAAGTGACGAATGATAACATACCTTGGCAAATTTTTGCTCCCTAATAATTCCTTCGAAGACTAAAAGTTGTTGTGTGAGACTGTGAGAGGATATCTGAAATTGTTTCCCTCATGTAAGAAAGTAATGGGATGGCAATTCTAGGTATGTCACTAAGATTTTTAAATAAAAATCCAAGAAATGGCAAGCAATTGTCGTGTCGTAGTGTCACCTGATACAATGATGACAAGACATCTATTAGAAGACAGCCACGCAAAGCGTGGAAATACGCACACATAACAGCTATGTCTCGAAACAAGATAGTGTATCCAAACGGAAAACTTGGATGCAAACCAATTTGAGAAGGGCTCGTTTTCAAAATAGCTGACCTCTATTGTATTCATATGTTTTTACGGAAAAATAACATATCTCTGGAATGAGGTTTATCTTCTCCTATCAAATTGGAAAATCATCTCAAAATCCTAACGCTTCCTACCAAAATTGAAAACGAGAGCCTCGCAAAGCGTGGCAGTACGCCCACACACCAGCATTGTCTAATAAATGGTAATAGACAACAACTTATTACGAAAGGAAATAAGATCTGTATCGTGTTGACGAGTTTTCCGGACACATAATATATCTCTGAAACAGAAAGTCATAGAATGCTGAAAATCAAACTGGCCCATCCTTTCCGATTCCAATGCTGCATATCAGGTGGAGTGGGGGTTAACTGGAAATCGCGAAAGTCTGAATATTTGAAAAATATCCGTTAAAAACTGTAGCCTCAATCGGGTTAACAACGTTTTTGGAAAAAGTGTGTATGTGGTGGGTAATTCGGAACTACAAGGTCACGGGACGCTGAATATCGAAAGAGGTTGTCATCCCATGACCCCAATGCTTCACGCTAACATTTTTTTAAGAAAAAAAACCAACATAACACATAACACAACACAGTTCTATAGAACACAATCACAAAGCTTTTGAAAAATGCGTCAACTCGCGGAACCCTTAAATATCGATAAGGTTCGTTCGCTCGTTACTAGAGGATTGGATGGTCGGTTGGTTTTACGTGCGCGCTTTAGATCACAAGGTCTGTCATTGAGTCAAGAGGCGCGGATTTCATTCCCCACTTGTACATGAAAAGGAGTAGGGTCACCTGTCCAACTTCGTGGGTTTTCTCCGGGTCCTTCGGTGTCCTCCCACTGCGAAATATCCCTACGAGCAAGCGCATTATTTAAATAAAGTTGTACCACGTGTTAGTCCAGAAATGACCTAGTTTGTATATAGTGGTCGTTGAAGCCAATTTCCCTCTATCGTGACCCCGGTGCTTCACACCTAATTTGAACAAATCAGTTAAAACTCCGTAGCCTCTATCACGCCCCCAATCCCATTTTATTGAATTTCATTTACGTCCACAATGTTTTTGACATAGAGACACGCGGTTGGTGTGCAGGGTGAGAGGGGGATGGGGTGTATCCTGTAATGATTTCACAATGTTTTCGGCAAAAGGGGCATAATTCTGGTTCATAACCACAACCTTTCATGCCGTAATTGAAAAAAATCTGTCACCATATTAAAAAGATCCCGTTAGAAACTGTAGCCTGTAATGATTTCACAACGTTTTCGGCAAAAGGGGCATAACGCAATGGGGATCTTCGATTCATAACCACACTCTTTCATGCCGTATTTGAAAATATCCGTCACAAACTGTAGTCTCTGTCTTATTCACAAGCCATTTATTGATTGACGGACTAACATATATAATACGCCCACACTGAAAAAGTTATTGCAATATAAACAGTTGGTTACAAAACTGGTTGAACACATTGAAGTCAGTTTTATAATAAAAGTTTGATTTTAAAATAACGCAAAATAACAAACTTGGACGTTTATTACAAATCAAATGGATTCTGGTATTAACCAGTTTGTAATAAACACTATGCAATAGTTTTTATAAAATCTGATTGTAAATTAAAGGTTGCGAAATGTTTTATAAATGGTTCATATATATACCGAAATAATTTTGCAGGTAGAGAAATGACAACATGAGGTACACTGCTGTAACGAGTTGTGATATCCATAAGTGTAAGTATCAATTACCGATATCGAAAGAAACAAAATCAATCATCCTATCTGTACAATCGGGCTGCAAATTCAAAAACAGGCACCTTCTTCTGGAATATTCGTTCCAATTTTTTTATCGCCTACTTCCCCGTCTCCTACGCCTTTATATATGAAATTAAAAATATTTAATTTCTTCGTGGAAGGAATATTGCCTGTTTAAATGTCGCTTAAACACAATAAACGCATGATATATACAGATTAATTTAACAGAACATAATTCTATATAACTGATAGATTTTTATGTGCCTTCTATGTTTTCCTCGCCTCCTTCAGCAATATTTAGATGGACCTTTTCCGAATTAGCGTCGTAATATGCTTTGGTGTCTTTAGCACAATTTTCGTTTCCGTTCTTCAGCGGGGAACGGTTGATAACGATTGACGGCTGTGTCTCAACATTAGTATATTGAGTATAAGTGTTGCTTCCATTTCCCTCCCTACTTGAAGGAAATAGACACGGTAACAAATGTTTGAATTCCTTTTTAAAGTTATCGTTCATCCATGCATACAAAAATGGGTTGTAAATGGTCGAACTCATGGCTATGACATGAGCAATGAAAAATACAAGGGCAAAATGAGACCAATGGACAACCCCTCCTTCATATTCTCTAACTAAATGAAAAATGTTTAAGGGCATCCAACAACACACAAATATTGTTACCATGGCTATTAACATTTTATTTGTTCGCTTTTTTCGCCGAATTTCTTGTTCGTCTCTTTCCCGTGTGCGCGATCCACATCCTATTCTGACTAATGTCCGTCTTTTCAAAGCCAAGGACACCATCGTATAACAAAAGCTTATGATGCTACAAGGCACAATATATTGAAGAACTAAGCTGGTCACGGTGAAAAATTGTCGAGCTTGAGTTCTCGGCCACTCCTCTGAACATGCGTAGATTTCATTGTCGCGGTCGTATTCTACTTGTTGATATATACCAAGTGGTAATGATATCGATACAGATATAATCCAAATAGCTATGATCATCAGAACACACATATATACTTTCATTCGTGGTTTAAATGGATAAACTATTACAAAATATCTGTCTACAGCTATAGCAGTCGAGGTCAACGTTGAAACATACACGCTTATACATAAGATCATTGGAACAAGATGACAAAGAGCATCTCCAAAAACCCAAGAGTTTAAAAAGAATGAAATTGGTGTAAAAGGAACTGCTAATAAGCACATCAATATATCTGAAATAGCTAGATTGGTGATAAATATGTTAGTAATAGTCTGCATTGCTTTGTTTCTTAAAACAACATAAACTACAAGTGAATTTCCACTGACACCGAGGAGGAAAATAACGGCATATAATGTAATAAAAATAGCCATAAGCCATGGCAACCTCATTACTTGACGTGCACTATTCACTATATCAGAGTTGTTTATATGTAATGGGATAGGCGTTGTATAATTTGCCATATCGCTCACCCCAAATATCAAAGCGATGTGTGTGGATGCCATCTTTATCAATCTGAGCTGTCACTCTACAAGAAGAGATAGGAATTCTGAAAAGAGAAAAACAAAATATATTGATTTTGCCAGGCAAAACAGACAAACCCACCACACGCTTTGTTCGCAACAGTTAACAGGATTAACTATTTCGGACAGACATTTTGTGTTGATTTCTCCATTTCGATTAATGATTTGTTAAGATCTGAGGATTTAAGAAAAAATATTGCTACTCAAAGAGTTCTGCAGTAATGTGTTCGTTCGGATGTTATGAAAAAAAGTTGTGGTGTTTACACATTGTAAAAGGGCGTGAACATTCTTTAACGGTTAAAAAGAGAAAAAAAAGTAACGTTGGTAATGGTACTGTCCTGGGAAAATTATCCAACGAATTCTAAGGTGTCATTACACAAATTTGAGGATGTCGTTGGTATGTTGTCTGTCGGTCCATGCGATACATTTATCAAATTTATATTCAATTTTCGCCTGTGCATTACGGTCATGTGAGGTTATTCGTTTCAGTGTTAGGCAACCCCCTTGTTAACGCAATGTGTGACCTTTCGTTTGTGGGTTACCCCCACTTTTCCGTAAATATTGTGAATGCGATAGAGGCTACGTTTTTTTAACGGATTGTTCATTGTGTCAAATGCATTGTGGAGAATTGGGGCCATGATGACAAATCCTATAGATTTTAAGTACCATTTTCCGAAAACGTCGCGAATGCGATAGAGGCAAAAAAAGGTTTTTTTTTCGTATTTGATGTAAAAAAAATTAGGGTCACTCGATTTTAGGCGTTTGGTGTGCAGAATGTTGGTCATGGGATGACGAACACCATTTTTACGCCCACAGTTTTTTTCAGCATATTGTATTCAGATTTTGTGTGGATTATAAGTTGATGAACTGGTATTCCCCCTTTTCCGAACACATTGTGAACGGGATAGATTTTAATGTATCTCAAATTGGGTCTGAAACATTAAGACTGTGAAAGGATAACCCTAGTGTGAATCAGCTGGAGGGGAATCCTATTGGTTTTCAAACTTTGTGTGGAGAATTAGGTAGGTGAGAATAGACCCTGTCGATCTGTTTTGGAAAAATACACACAGAAACACACCTATATCACTATAGTGCTAGTATTTGATCAGATATGTTAGCAATTTTACGTTCTGGAAGGTTTCAATATTCATGAACTGCCTCCAGGGAACACTGAACCATCAAAGAAAGACATGAACTGAAGTTTTTTAAGTTGAGGATTTAAATATGATTCTGTCGAGTTCAAAAATCGAGGGTGAAACCATGTCCAAACAAGTATTGCTGGTACAGGTCAATAGGAAGTTCTACAGTTCAGATCATTTCATTTCATGTTCAAGTTGTCCATACAGCTATCAAAACAGCGAAAAAAAAGTCTATAACTGGTGTAGCCACTGCCAGCCTACAAGATTCTGCACCCGGACGCAAAAATCATCAACGACACGCGCAAGGTGCGGTCTATAGTTTTTGCACGGAAAGCTTGGCTTGTGAGAAAAGGGCGATTGTCAAAGGATCATTGTCAAAGTTGGGCATCGCAAGTCTGTCCGGGATTTCTATTTGGTACCGTTGGCCATTGGGATTACCTGTGTCCCCCAATGAAAGCTTGCAGGATCTTCATCTGTGCATACGTCATTTTCCAACGAGGGGTGGTGGCCCAACTGTCTTGTAATGTCTCATTGACACTCCAGCATTCCTCATGCAATAACTTGCCATCTTTTCGCTGCAGTGAATTTTCGAGGTCCCATTGTGGAATGCAGACGGTGAACACGCTGATTTTAAAACTTTCCTCAATGCAATCGCTGATATTCCAATCATGATTTTCATGTTGTGATTCCTTTTCTGTTGTATATTACGCGAGAAGACACGTTTGCAAACACGATAGAGATCAGATTTATTGAAGACGTAAGAGATCCATATCGAATTTAGTCAACATTCATGTTTCCATTCAGATAAGCTGTTGTCTGTGGCTATCATTTTATCGGCACACAGCTGCTGTATGAGGCGTAGCAATCTGCTGGTATATTTTGTGCAGAATGGGGATGGACATCATCGGATACGTCTAATTCGTAAATTATTGCCAAAGGGTGTGAGAGCACCATGCAGGGGGTGATAACCCTTGGGTCAGGGATTTGAATCAAATTTTTTCTGTGGGATGGTTTAGTACCCAGATACACCACACAAAATATTACATTGATTCAGTTGTTACGACCTGGAAAATTGGAGAAAATTTTTTTTAATAGAAAACTAGCAAAAAATGGGCAATTTTGGGACCAAATTTTTAGGCATTAGTAGGACTACTCAGGTTCCTCCGACACACCAAGTTCGATGTTTCTTCTGCAAATTCTACCTTGGTATTGGCCGGATACCCAACTCTCTCTGAAAACTGAATTTCACGAAAACCAAAGTTTGAGATGCTATAGCTCGTTCTTTGCAGGGACAAGGACCAGGGACTAACAAGATAAAAAATAAAAATGACCGGAACAGGCATAATAAAATCAGGAGAAATAAATTAAAAACAACAAAAATTGGGATAAAATGTTCCGTTTATCAATACCCCAGATGAAATATGTGTATGAACATCTATACAAATTTAATATATTACATTAAGTCGTTAGCAAGGATGATTTAGACAAGACAGAAATGTGGGTTAAGGTCCACTCGACATAAACTAGGTCATTTTGGGACTAACATATGGTACAATTTTACTTCAATAATACGCTTGTGCGAAAAGAGAAAATCCACGGGGTCGGGCAAACAACACTACACCATGTAACCTGCAAACTGTCACGCTACTATGTGATCTAAAGCCCATGTGTTATACCAGGAACAAGTTTCATGAATGTCCAATGCAATCTCAAAGCCATTAAAACGCAATGCCAAATTCAAAGTTTATTTACTGCAACAACTTTAAACAAATGTACATAACAATTGACACAATCGAGATAACAAGCATCTGTGGATAATTTCATGAAAGAATTCACAACAAATGCACAAAACCGAAACGTCAGAGAACCATGAAACAAAGCAGGGGTCAGCTGAAGCCAATATCGGGTATGTCCACCATGAGCTCTTACACATGCCTGAAGTCGACTAGGCATGGACTGGCAAAGATGTCTCACAACACGCTGTGGGATTGTTTGCCAAAGATTTTGGAGTGCCTGTGCTAACTCTGCAACAGTTCGTGGTGGCACGACTTGAGTTTGAAACCGTCGTCCAAGTTCATCCCAAAGGTGTTTGATCGGGTTCATGTAGGGAGACATAGCGGGCCAGTCCATAACACGGACATGATGATTGTTCAGAATGTCTCTTGTCAACCTGGCAGTGTGGGGTCGCGCGTTGTCATGCTGGAAAACCATCTGCCGACGGACGCCATGTTGAGCCAGCAATGGAAGCAACACCGGAAGAAGGATGGTGCCAACATAATTTTGAGCGTTGAGATTGCATTGGACCACCTGGGACCGGAAGTTGACGCCACCTCTCCCGAAACGACCCCTTTCCAGCACGCAGTTACGAGCAAAGCGTTCATGTCAACGTCGGTAGATACGGTGACGTCCATCAGGAAAACTGAGATTGAATCGGGATTCATCCGAGAAGATGACATTTCGCTCTGGTGTGTTGTGCAGATACCCCTGATTTACGGCCCATTGCTGTCTGGCAAGTCGATAACGATGCAAAAGGATTTGACCTTGGTAAGGTCGATGGCAGCGTAACCCAAGAGCAGCCAGGCGCCTTCAGACTGTTTGAGGGCTGATCTGACGTTTCCGTGTTCCAACAGTTCCCCTGGCAGTATAAGCTGACTGGGAACCTGTTGCGCAGATGTTGTAGTCGGATGTGGCTATCTTGAGCTACAGGTGGCGCTTCAGGTCGGGGTCGTTCGGCAACTCTTCCAGTGGCGTGGAAGCGTTGTCTGAGGCGAGCAATGGTCGATGGGTGGACATTAAATTGTCTGGCGACGGCTACCTGTTGAGCCAGCATGCCAATAGCTCTGTTCCTGTTTTCTTGTGTAAGGCGTGGCATTATTCCGAAGTGATGAATGTTGAAATTTTGATAAGTATTTATAGGACCAGAGTACAGGGAATCCACGTGCAAAACGTCTGACATGAGACTGCTTAAAATCGTGAAAAACGTCTGACACGAACAAAGTTCATTACCGAGAACTGATATTGGGTTCAAACCCAGAACTCCACAGGTTTCACGTATGGTAATGAAAGGTAAAATATGATACACGACTCAGAGTAAGCATATTTCAGCTTTCCGGTAAAAGATCACTATGCTGTCAAAGCTGCGGAAGGTACGCAGCAGCCTCTTCAGTACATTCTCAGGGCTGGAAATGTTGCGTTAAGAACCTGACAACCAAACCGCGATAGTTCTTCAGTGGTAGAGAACTATATGAGCGATCACAAACTGTTAGTCGCCCGTGGCGTGAAGACTTGAAGTGTTTCTGAGGGATGTTCATGTTCACTCTTGTAACAGGTTTTAAGGATGAGGGGATTGTAGATGATCCAGTGACATTAAGTCGTAGTCACACGATCAGCAAGATGACTACACAACAAGCATAAGATTAGTGGGTTTGCGTGCCCAGTCGCCCGATGAGTATCCCCTTTTCTACCATCGTTCCTTGTGCCAAATATGTTATTTTGGTCAAAAATATTTTAGGAATCAAACAAGCTTATTCCCATCTGTATTTAGGAGCCGATCATTGTATAAAAGAGGCATTGGAAATCAGGAGGCTACCATGCATTCCATATTGATATCCCCGAAGGCGAAAAGAACATAGGCCAAAAATAGTACTACAAAACAAAACACTGACGCAAGGTCAGAGAGCATTTAAACTCGAAAAAAGGAATCTAAGTATGTGAGCACTTCTGCTGGAACGTAGGTATATGTAGGAGGTTTGCACATGCGGTCAACATTATCCTGGAGTGCCATAAATCCTGTTGTGATCTATGCCATATTCGCCTGCAGAGATTCCATTACCAGACATTAAATGTTTCTTCTTATGGTTCTCCTTTGCATGAGCAGGTGGACAATA